CTTCATGATCTTTCAGTAATGCTTGTTGTGTAGTCATGAATTGAGCATGAAATTGCAGTGCTGTGCTGTTTGACTCAGGCGTCAGACCCTCGAAGATTGGAGCGAACTCTAGTCATGTGATCTATTGGCGGGTATTCGCTCCCATTATAGGTATCCAAAAAGGAGTCGTTACTGCTCGTAGTAGAGAAATAGGATACTATTCAAAGATTGTATTAAGCATCCTACAAACAATGTATGACGGAAGATAAGGCGCAACGACTGCCCCTCAATAAATAGGATGGAATGTATTAGCGGAGGGTGGCGGAGCTAGTCGGGCAGGATAATTAGGTCATCGCTGTTGCTCAGAAATAAACTTAGGCGTCTCGTCTCTCATCTCTTGACTGCAACTCGAGAGGCTGTTGAGGTTGCGAATTTGCAGGATGAAATTCGTGGTTTGCAAACTTTGTAAGAGGTGGGGCTCCATATGTTTGCTCAACAATCCGATACTGGCCGAAAACACCCCGGCGTAGTGTAACGAAACTCAAACTATCTAACAAAAGGCAATCGCTTCGAAGGTTGGTATGTAGGTAGGAAGTAAAGATGCGCCGGGTTGTTCACTCAGAAGTGAACTCGCTACTTGTATCAAAGATGTCAAACAAGGTGCTAAGATTAATAAACTGAGGCACGAAGCTCCTATCTAATGGCAGAAGTGCCAGTCTTATATAGAACGTATGTATTTTGAGGTGTATCGTTTGCCAAAAAGGGTTTTGGAAATACTGTACGTTTTGTCTGCTAGATTGGCTGGTGTACCTTATTGAGTGAGCAGTTGGCAGTCGTGGAATCAAACTGGGCCGAAAAAAGCCCAGCGTAGTGTTAGACTCCAATGCCTCCAAATTCCTTCAGGCTGAAGGTTGCACAACACATCTGTCGGAAATGGGACTCTTACACATTTTGCGCATATTCCAACGATTCGACTGGGAAACCGATATATTCTATGTTCTCTGCAAAGTTTCAAGTTGTTTCTTTGGTCATGAGAATTGTTAGAATAGGTTGTCTGGGCAGCAGTAACCCGACAACTTAAATTTTCGTGGCCGAGGTAAGCACTGCATCTTGATGCACCATGCGGCTCTGTCAGAAGCTGGCTGCTGTATGGAGTTGATCAATTTAATCACGTGATGAGAGGCTGAAGCCGCCTGAAGTTATCCATTGTGCGGCGTCTATAGCCTCAGGCTGCATCTACCACACCTTCGCTGATTTGTCGGGAATCTCAGCTGCACGCAGAAAATAGGCGCGTTGCCTTAGCAATGAACGAGGTGCCCCAGTCTCCCAAGTATCATATTTACATTTTCAGCTCAACAACAACCCTACTCCTTCAGAATGTCCTCTAGGCGGGAATCAGATTTTGCGCGTCTAGAACAGCTGCTTCGAGAAGCAGACGAGCGAGCAGAGCAGGAGCAAAGACGTGCAGAGAGAGCCGACGAAAGGGCAGAACAGGAGCGACAGCGTGCGGAGGACGAGCTGCGAAATCGACAACAAGCCGACGAGCGCGCAGAACAGGAGCGACAGCGTGCAGAGGACGAGCGACAGCGTGCGGAGGACGAGCTGCGAAATCGACAACAAGCCGACGAGCGCGCAGAACAGGAGCGACAGCGTGCAGAGGACGAGCGACAGCGTGCGGAGGACGAGCTGCGAAATCGACAACAAGCCGAGTCTCGCGCTCAGATTGAGAGAAAGAAGACAAGAGCCACAACATTCGAAGAATACATACGTGCCTGCCATGAACTTCTCTCGAAACCACTTCGCATCCAAACAGACAAGAGCCTCAGCACACAGGGCTCTATCACCAGTCCGAAAAATAAGCGGTGCCCGACTTTATTGAAACCTTGGACGGACTTCCCCAGACGACAGCAACAGCTCTTCCAAAGGGTCTGCGAATATATCCCCTCTGAGGCAGAATGCTTCAGTTCCACCCAATACCTCACAGAGCTCGGGCAAGACCTTTGCGACCGGCCACTGGCAAGCGAGAAGGATTTAGAGGCATATCAGCGCTTAGCCGTTGAGCGACCGACGACACACATCATCTCCCATCTTCAAGAGATAGAAGAGGCCCGCCGTGAGTTCAACTTAGGCAGTGGCATTATTTTCGAGAACCATGCCAACACCCTCAGTGATCGCAACGAAGAGGTCCAACAAAGTCTGCAGAATCTCCGCATCTCAAGCAAAGGACAAGCCTCGAGCTCAAATCCAAAACCACGAAACGCTGATCAGATTTGTGTATATAAGGAGGCAGATGGCACACGAAGCCTGTGTATGGTTGTTGAATACAAACCATCTCATAAGCTGTCGGTCTTCAATCTACGGGCTGGGCTTTTGCGAGCTGACGAAGGGTCTATGAATATTCCCGAGGAAGTCATCAATCGGGTCACAATACCGACTGATCCAGAGGCCAAGTTTGTGTACCACTCTGAGTGGCTGACGGCAGCAGCTCTATCGCAAACGTATACATACATGATTGAAAACGGGCTCAAATATAGCAAATTGGGTACGGGAGAAGCCGATGTTTTCCTTCTCATCAAGGAGGAAGAACCACATACGCTCTACTATCACCTCGCAGAACCCAACATCGAAGCCGAAGCGCAGAGTGAGGTCGATACTGTACTCTGTCGCACGGCAGTGAGCCAGACCCTAACCTTCTCCCTAATGGCACTGGAATCGAAGCCTCGCAACCAAAAATGGCGAAATCATGCGCTAGAGATTGCTTGTAGGGCTGTAATCGATCACGAGACCATCTTACAACAGATACCCGCTGAAGAGAAGATGTTGACTCCTCCGCACTCGGTCTTTCATGCACGAATCTATCCTTTCGAGCGGTCGCCGATCATGCTAAGACCCAGAAAGTTACGGAAGGCAAGGAATAGCTGTGGCTCTGTAAACATAATTGTACACGAAGATCCACAGAGTCCGTCTGGCTCATCGGATGAGACCTCAGACATTGAAACTCCAAGCAAGCAAAGGGCTCATACGCACCAGTCTAATGTCGGTCAGGTGCGTCCCGTCAGAAAATCACAGGCAGCCGAAGAGAGCGATGTCTGCCACCGCCAATACTGCACACAAGCCTGCTTGTTAGGGCTTGTGCGAAAACGTCCCTTGGACGATGCTTGTCCGAATGTCAATGCACATCGTGCTCATAAGACTGGCAACTACCATGCTTTAGAGCAGAAATCCCTTATCAAACTTATGTCCCGCCAACTCGCCGAAAACCCCGACAATGGGTGTGAGCCACTTGGAAAACAAGGCGCCTGTGGGGCTCTGTTCAGACTGACGCTTGAATGGTATGGATATACTTTCGTTGCCAAAGGGACTGTGACGGCATTCGAGGCTAAGTTGAAGCACGAAGGGTTGGTCTACCAACACCTGAACGAAGTTCAAGGAGAGCTTATACCCGTCTACCTTGGGAACATCTCTCTCGTCTGCCCCTACTTTCTGGACGTTGGAGTTAGAATAGTTCACATGCTACTAATGTCATGGGCAGGCGAGCAGGCACGCAACGATTCGATGTTAGCCATGGGACGGGATTTGGCTACGGAAACAAACAGGGCAGTTACAAAGATGTTAGATTGCGGAGTAGAGCATCGCGATGTGCGACCGCCGAATATTCTATGGAATTCTGAAGGTCGAAAGGTGATACTGGTGGATTTTGAGCGTTCAGAGATTTCGAAGCAGATGCCAATTCTCCAGGAGAATATCGCCTAATCGGAAGCGGAAGCATCTGTACCTCGCCGATACGGCATCATGTAGTAGCCAACATCACCACCAGCGTTTCATTAGTGCTGTTACATGACCGTATTGGCTCATGTACAAGCAATATTTCCCACATAGAAAGAATTCATGATCAGCCACTACTCCTGTAGCCTTCTGAGTGTATTCAAGTAATAGCGTACCATGCGTGGCCTGTTGTTTTAGAACTCTTAAATAAGACATATTCTTAGATAGCTCTACTTGAAATAGCATCTAATTACCTTCCAAGCCCTGGTTTCTAAGCATCGCAAGCTCTTGTGAGAAAAATCAACCATAATTCAGGCGTGCTACGAATTATTTCCCGGCAGTACAGATTCGGGAAGGCGGTGAGGAAATATTTGGAGGGCCACGAATTATTTCCTCCTAGAGCGCATTGCTCATCCTCTCTGAACATTCTCTACCTATACTTTAGATCCCTGCCAAGGCGGACTGCTGTGACGACTCACATCCTATGACTCAGCAGCTGCCGCAAAAGTGGTGAAGGTGCTGCCGATAGGCTACAAACCCAGCTAATGAATTGTGAAGTGCGAAGCCCCACTCTCTCCATCAGCCTTCACCAACCTTGCGGCAGCTAGCTTGTACATATGTAGCAACAAGTTGCTTAAACTCAAAGTACTTAGCAGTTTTCTCAGCACGGTGGGTTTTTCGTCAGCTAGGGAGGGACGTAAGATTGCATATATTACATTCTCTGACGCTCCTTGTCTACCCAATGAAACCAACCCGGATTTTACCTTAACTGGATGTTGGTATCGCTTCAGTGGGAAGTAAACTCGATTCGAGTCGGTAGGAGCTCTGTACCGAAGTCGGGGATTATCCTCTGTCACACGCGGACCCTATCGTGTGTCAGATTTTGATTGAGCGTAAGAAATGCCACAATACCCCGTTTATCTTTTCCGATCCAATTAGGAATAACAGAAACATGCTGGATTTTAGGCAATCACTGGACCTGACTGGTATAAAAATGGCAGCACGGAACATTTCAATCTTTTATACTTAACTCTTTAAGCTACCTAAGTCTAACTCGCCTTACCATTACTCAAGTTTTACAAGATAGTTCTTACCAGGATAATTTAATCAACATGTGTGACAGAGACGTTCATACCCAAGTAAAGCAGAGTCTCATGTTATGAGAAACTAGCTAACTGGTTGTATCCAGAAGTACAAGAATTGTACCGCAAGCCCTAAACATATAATCACCAAGTACGATCCCAGGCCATGTCCACACCAAGGAACCGACCGGTGTAAAGGAGTGAAGGATAATCACCTTGGAGCAAGCACTATAAACGGTGGTATCTGTCCAAAATGCTAAGCTAACACGGTACGCTTCAAAAGAATTTCAAATTGTATATTCCGCTTGTAATCTTACAGCAACTCTCGAAGATGAGCTATAGCATCTGTCTTCGACTACGACTGCGTGATTAGTACGGTGTAAGGACGTTGAACAGAGTCTCACATTGATCAGACCTGCCTTGATTATTCACAGCTGTCTCTGGGTTTTTTATGCAGTGGTTTTTTGTTACAGAACCTAACAATTTATAAAATAAAGACTTCTGTGCCTCCTTGCTCTGTGACTGTGCTGGCCTTCAATTGATTCTGGCTTCTGTCCATCACTGTACTCGGCAAAGCAAAACCATGTCGCCTTGGGTTTGTTACCGTGAAGTTTCTCCTATAAAGATATCAGCACATGACTTTTAGGTCGCATCAAAGGCATATCACCATAACGAAGGTTGGGCTTTCATAATATGCTATACGTCTAGAGTAGTTTTGGCAAGCTCTTGGAGATCTTCAACCACCTCTGAAGCCGACCTGTATGCTCCCGCCCAACAATTGTGCACAACCTTGCCACCTAGCTGGGGATCCAAGGCTGGAAAACGACCCAATTTGAATCTTGCCTCTATTTCCACTTCATCGTCGTCGACTAAAGGATTCAGCTCTGGAAACGGTTCATGTCCAGTCATCATGTAGTAAATCGCAGACCCTAAAGCAAAGATATCTGTCTTTTGATCTGCATGGTTTGGATCAGAACGAGGCATAGATGACTTTATGTTCTCTGATGAAAGGCCATTCAGAATAATAGTACCATCTGGTGANTGTCTCTGGGTTTTTTATGCAGTGGTTTTTTGTTACAGAACCTAACAATTTATAAAATAAAGACTTCTGTGCCTCCTTGCTCTGTGACTGTGCTGGCCTTCAATTGATTCTGGCTTCTGTCCATCACTGTACTCGGCAAAGCAAAACCATGTCGCCTTGGGTTTGTTACCGTGAAGTTTCTCCTATAAAGATATCAGCACATGACTTTTAGGTCGCATCAAAGGCATATCACCATAACGAAGGTTGGGCTTTCATAATATGCTATACGTCTAGAGTAGTTTTGGCAAGCTCTTGGAGATCTTCAACCACCTCTGAAGCCGACCTGTATGCTCCCGCCCAACAATTGTGCACAACCTTGCCACCTAGCTGGGGATCCAAGGCTGGAAAACGACCCAATTTGAATCTTGCCTCTATTTCCACTTCATCGTCGTCGACTAAAGGATTCAGCTCTGGAAACGGTTCATGTCCAGTCATCATGTAGTAAATCGCAGACCCTAAAGCAAAGATATCTGTCTTTTGATCTGCATGGTTTGGATCAGAACGAGGCATAGATGACTTTATGTTCTCTGATGAAAGGCCATTCAGAATAATAGTACCATCTGGTGACAAGAATCGCCCTTGGAAGTCCGCAAATTTGATATTGAGGTTTTGGTTGAGGAGCAGGTTGTTCGTGTTAGTGTCGCAATGAAT